AAGAAAAATAGTAAAGTACCCAGCTGGTCAACCATAATAAACTATTTAATTACTATTCCCAATGTGGTTCATTCTGAAATTATAACCTGCCACAATCTCTTTACATTAGCTTGCTTAGATGCCACCCTACCACTAGCCTTCATTTTGAAGTGAGGAGGAATGATTCAGATACACTACTGGAGAGTGTAAACTAATATACTCTTTTTGGAGGACAATTTTACAGTATTACACTGTAAAATGTACGTGTTCTCTATTTTAGCAATGCACTGCTGAGAATTTATATCCCCAAAGAGCTGTCAGACAAGTGCACAAAAATTAAGTTAAACTGATGTTCCCTATATAGCATTTTTGCAACAGCAAGAGGAAAATTTTGATTGCCTATCAAAAGAGGGATTCTATAGTCATTAAAAAGAATGTCATGAAATAAGATGTTCACAATATACTGTTAAACTAAAAATTCAGTTTGCACAATGGTATATAAATAACATGAATATTCTAACAAGCACAAATACTGCTCATCTCAGGAAAATATGGAGACATGCTTTCTTTAAAAAAAGTATAATACCATATTTTATTTCTTCAATGAAATACTTTTTTTTTTCACATTTTAACACCTCTAAAATTGGGATGCCTCATACAATCTCTGTTGGCTAGGCAGCAGTTGTGACATAATTGTCGTTACTTATGCATCAAAATATAAAGAATGGGTGTGTTAGCAGCTTGGAAGAAAAAAAAAACCCTGGAGACAATGATGGGGCATTCTTAAGAAATATTGCAATCATTAATCTCTTGGTGGTGAAGAGGAAAAAGTATGGGAAAACGGGGACATCAATAACTCTAGGTTGAGAATTAATTTATAAGAGTCTGAATGTCAAAAAGTGTTAGGAACACCTTAAGTAATTTATGTCATTTATAATTACCTTTTCTCCTATTACAAATGCGATACATATACACACACAGGCACAAATTCACACCTACATAGATACAAATTTGATTTTTTTCATATAAAAATGGTACAAAGAAGACAACTCAAATGATCCATAATTTCAACACCCAACTAATTATTCAAGACATTAAAACAGGGCAAAAAATAACAGCTGTATTATTCACAGGCTGTATTTTGTTAATTTGTCCTCTAGTTTTTAGAATGCTGTTTATTCACAGATTATTACCTTTATTTCGTACATTACTACCGCTATTTCTAAATTTGCAAATTATGATTCTTATGTAAATCCCTAATTTTTAACTGGTTATATAGCTCAGTTTGAAGGTAGGAACAGTGTTAAAAGAACAATTAAATTTCCAACTTAGCTGACAAAGGAATGTTTAACTCAAAGTGCGTCTTTAACATAGTAAGTATTGTGAGAATATAGAACCTATAGGCTCTGTTATGGACTGAATTGTGTCCACATGTAGAAGTCCTGACCCTCAATGCCATTGTATTTGGAGTCAGTGCCTATAAGGAGGTAATTAAATGAGGTTGGGCCCTAATTCCATAGAATTGTGTCCTTACAAGAAGAGGAAAAGACCAGAGTATCTGAGTCCATCGTATTTTGTTATGGCAGCCTGACCTGACTAGCAGAGGCTCTTTATAGCACCATTTTAAAAAATTAGACAATGTTTTCAGTTTTAACTTGGGATATGCTCTCCTGACACAGTCCCAGCATCAAGAACAAATATTCTTCCTCATTGTTCTATCTGTCGATCAGTGAAATTGCAGACATTATCAGTTCCAACACCTCTGGGTTTTTTGGCTTCTCCCTCTTGGCAGTGGGAGTAGAGGGCAGGGAAGAAGACTTTGGGATTGTTGTTTAGTAGAGATCTAGCTGGGGCGAGGATGAAGTGAAAAAATAGATGCAAAAGGAATTGATGAAGAATTCTAGTGAAATAAGAATAAACTCAGGAATCTGGATACTTGGGCTCAAACCCCAGCTATGCCCTTTTATAGCTATATGACCTTTGGAAAATTATTTAACTTCTCTGTGGTTTAGTTTCTTCATCTGAAATATCAGAAATAGATTAGAAATAATCAATTCCACAGAGTTGAAGTTGGACTTAAATAAGACAGTATAGATGTGAGGGCTAGATAAATGAAAGATGTTCAAAAACATTAGCTGAGTTCAGAGTGCAGTTGCTCTGATATATTTATCTACAGAATACCTTATTTATTTACACAGTTCTTTCCACTTTTAGAGGTATTCTGAAGCAGAGAAAAGGGTATATACCATCTTTGAAATCAGATAAACTTGGGTTCAAATCCTAACTTTGCCACTTAGTAGCTATGTGATACTGGGTAAGTTACTTAGCCTCCCTGAGCTTCAAATGGGGCCAACCTGACCCTTAAAATGGGGCCAACTATGCTCACCTTACCTGATTTGTAAGGAATTAAGTCAGATCAGATATTTAAAGTACAGTATTTAAAATGCAAATACTTGATACTGCAAAGATGTTATTTCTTTACAAATTAAGTCATTCTCAATCTAAATCCTCACAGAATTTTTCATGCAATTTGACAAGCTGTTCTAAAATTCAGCTGGAAGATACACAAAAATAGCCAAAATTTTAAAAATCAAGAGAATTTTGCTATTACATAGATTTGAAAATAGTATAGGCCAGGCACAGTGGCTCATACCTGTAATCCTAGCACTCTGGGAGGCTAAGGCGGGAGGATCCCTTGAGTTCAGGAGTTCAAGACCAGTCTGAGTGAGAGCAAGACCCCGTCTCTACCACAAATAGAAAAAATTAGTAGGGTATGGTGGCACACCTGTGGTCCCAGCTACTTGGGAGGCTGAGGCAGGAGGGTGGCTTGAGGCCAGGAGTTTGAGGTTGCAGTGAGCTATGATGATACCACTGCACTCTACCTGGGGTGAGAGAGTGAGACTGTCTCCAAAAAGAAAAAAGAAAGAAAAGAAAATAGTATAAAGTGGTAATTAAATCAGTATGGTATTAGTGTAAATACAGACAAATAGATCAATGAAAAAGAACGGAGTTTAGAAACAGGCCTAGATATAGGAATTTTGCATAGCATAAACTATAAAAGTAAGAATAGACTAATCAATAAATCATTGGGTGAAGTGACCATCTTTTAAAAATATTTAAATTCCTACATCATTTCATACACAAAAATAAATCTCAGGTGGATTCAGGTTGTAAAAGTAAAAATAATAAAAGTGAAAATATAGAACATTTATAAGAGGGTTGGGGAAGGCCCTAAGTAAGATTTAAAAAAAACCTCAAAAGCTATCATTCTCATCATTGAATAAAGACAGTGTATGTATTTTATTCTTGCATTGCAATTTCTTTCCATCAACAGTAATGAAGTAAATCCCAACCATTAATGTGGTACTGTAATGATTATACAAAAATCTTTCTGTACTTAAAAAAAATTTACTCTTATAAGCATAAAGGAAAAATGTATCAAGACTCTCTTTTAAAAAAGAATTGCTGTAATATTGATACTAACTACAATGAAGCAACTTCCTACTAAGTGGGCCTTAATGATCTAAGTGTTGGTGGTTACAACCACACACAATCTAGAAAGGCTTATGTAAAATATAATAGAAAATTCAATTTAAAAACAAACATATACTATGCTACCATGATTCTAAATTGCATTATGAAGTGAATTTCTCAATAATTCATGATCACTTACCTAAAAGTAATGACATTTGAAAATCCAGAGCTTAAAAGACTCAGAAATAGGAAATCTAACTACTAATATATTAGGTAATTGCAAGGCAAAGCAAAACTTAATTCAACATTCTACATTCTAAAGGTGTACTTTTTGTAACTCAATAAAGAGGAAAAATGTGCTAAGTGGGTTTTTCTCTTTTCTTTTTTTTTTTTTGGAATGGCAAATAAGGAATTTTATTGTTGGTAATTATCAGGAAATTGACATGATATAAAAGTAGTTAAGGAAAGAACTGAGGCTACAAAGTCAAAGGTCTCACAGTAAAATTTATCCTTATAATGTATACAAAAAGACTACTGACAACATGTTAGTTAGCTCTTCTATTGGTCTTTCTGCTAATTCAATTCTAGCCTTAAAACAAAGCCAGGCTCCTATTGCCTAATCCCTTAGTATTCAATAAAACTGCACTTTGGTCTTTCTTATAGAAGAAAGTTTCTATTACAAACTTTCCAATCTTTAAGGGAGGGGTAGATCTGTAGAAAGTGTTAACCTGGGTCTCAGGAAGAAACTCATTTACAGCTAAGAGAAAACTCCAGGCTATCATTTGTCATTCTTATTTTACTCTTAAAACTCTTCTAACGTCATTTATTCTCTGACAAACTCAAAATTACTTTCCACAAAATAAAAACTCTAGAAATCTAAAAACGCGAAGTGCGTGCTGAGAAGCAACCGAGGAAATTCTTTCGAATGCGGAAAACGTCAAATGTGAAGTATAACTTCTAATGAGCAAGATAAAGAACCGTCAAAATTTACAGCGGTGGTTTGGCGAAAACAAAACGGTCTGGTCTCTAGAGAGTTCACAAACACCCTAGCCCGTGGTCGAGGAGGAAGAGTCCGGTACATCCCAGACCAGGCCAGCGGCAAGATGCTCCCGGGCTTTCGGAGAGCTGCCGGGAAGGTAGGCCCCATAATCCATAGGGCAGCGTTCTCTCACGTCCGGGCCCGCAAGTCCGGCGGGTTCGTCATAAACACGCTAGGCAGGGACAGAAGCGAGGCGGAGGAAACGGGTCACGCAACTGTCAAACGAAACCCACCACTGACTGCCCCCATCCCCAAGGCGACAAGCCCTCTCCGCGCGGGACACTCACCGTTGCCTCAGGATCGCGACTACAACTCCCAAGAGGCTGTGCGGCTGACGATCAGCGTCCTTCCCAGAATGCAGCACAGTGGCGTCCTTAGCCCGCCCTCTCCCTTCTCCGCTCCTCCTACTCTTCTACCCGTTGTCGTCCGCGAGGACCGGAGGTAGGGTGCGGAAGGAGGACCTCGAGCCCTCGGCGTGTCGCGTCAGACGCCGGGGGTGGGGGGGAAAGGGTGGGGAGTAGGGGGGAATGGGAGGACGAAGGGGAGGGGAAAGGAGAGGGGAGGGGAGGGTAAATAGTGGGCCAGGGAGGAAGATGGCGGCGGTAGTGGAGGTGTGAGTGGACCCGGTTCTCTGCGGCTGGATTTTCTCTTCCCTTCTTTCTCTCCCTTTTCCTTACCTGTTTGAGATTGGCATCGAGGGGGCTGAGTTCGGGTGGCGGCGCTGGGCGCAACGCAGGGGTCACGGCGACGACGGCGGCTGACGGCTGGAAGGGCAGGCTTCCTTCGCCGCTGGTTCTCCTTCCCCGGTCTGCTCGGTGTCAGGCGCGGCGGCGGCGCGGCGGGCGGACCTCGTCCCTCCTCCTGCTCCCCCCCGCATCGGAGCGGGCACTCTTCGCTTCGCCATCCCTCGACCCTTCACCCCGGGGACTGGGCGCCTCCTCCGGCGCAGCTCAGGGAGCGGGGGCCGGTCTCCTGCTCGGCTGTCGCGCCTCCATGTCGGATAACCAGAGCTGGAACTCGTCAGGCTCGGAGGAGGATCCGGAGACGGAGTCCGGGCCGCCTGTGGAGCGCTGCGGGGTCCTCAGTAAGGTGAGCAACCCTTGGAGCCAAGGGCCCCCTGCCCAGACTCACCTGCCGCGAGGCAAGTGGCTGAGGGCATGGGGTGGGGCTGGGCGGGAGGCACGGAATGTGCTGGGGTGTGGGGCTGAGTACTGCTGCGGGGGCTAAGGGTGGTGTGGGGGGAGAGGGCACTGCCCTCCTCGCCTGCCCACAGGCTCGTCACGGGCGGCCAAAGACTAGGGAAAGCGTGTGTCGACCCAGGATCCAGTTTGGGAGGCCAGATGCGCGCCGTGACTTGGGACTTAGGGCGGCAGCTGTCCCGAGTGTAGGAATCTGGGTTGGGCGGCAGCGGTGACCGAAACGACTGGACATGGGGGCGGTTCATATCGGACCTCTTAAACGGTGTTGTTGGAGATGCCAAGCAGGTAAGGTTGGGGGGCTCTGCGGACGCGGCTGTTTAGAAAGAAGCTGGAGCGACTTGGCTGGGTGCTGAAATCTGAGGTAGTAAAACTGCGCCAGGTTAGAGGTAGTAATGTGGAAGACTTTTGTACTTTGCCCTTCTCCCCCTTCCCCAGTTCAGAAAAGAGCTATTGAATAGGCATGTGACGGGTACAAGAAACATTCGTAGTAACTTGGAACATGTCAGAATGGAATACGACCTTTTAGTCCAGGAAGAAAAGCAGTATTTAATAAAATATTTTTTCAGTAAGAGTTCCAGGATAAGGAAGAGGAGACATTTTACCTTTTCTGTATTTTTGAAAAAAGCCTTTTTAAAATTTTAGCGAAGTAGCCATTTATAGGACTATAGGTGGGTGATCTTTTGAAATTACGTGATGTGTTTTTTTGTTTTAAGTTTTTGCTGTAAGAAGATTCATATAGCCTTTTGACTTCTCTCTCCCTTCCTGTTAAACTTTTAGAAATGACTTAAGGTAGCAGTTAACTTGGAGAGGGGGAGCTGGGGCCAGTCCCTCAACAAGCCGGTCATAAGATACTAGGTCATGTGCAGCCACTGGCTGTTAAGAAATCACCCTGCTTCCAGTATTCACACTTTGGCAAAGCATTTGGACATCATCTGTGGAATTGTTTCATATCAGGCTTTTATAATGTCTTTAGAAAGCTAATGAGAAAGGGCCTAGGAAAGGCGTGAGTATGTCAGAACTAAAGATTACAAGTGTTAACTTTTATATGTATAGCGGAAAAAATGGTGTATGTTAATACTGTGTTCATTTCAGTGCAAGGTTTTCTGTAAAGTGAAGGTCTCCAGGGTTTCCTTAGATTAAATGTATCTTATAATTTGAGAGTCTGTATTTAACACATTGTGTAGTAGGTATACATTTTCAGCTGGGAATAGTTAGGAAATGGATTCCTGCCTCCCAGCGATTATGATAGTTTGATCATTTTACTTATTAGATGAGAAGCAGACTGCTATATTAGTATTGTGGTGTGTTGAGTATTTTACAAAACAAGTTGTACTTTTAACCTATTGATCATCCCACTTTCTTGGGGGAGGGGAGCCAAAGGGGAGTTACTGTGCTCTGAGTTATGTATTGTATGCTGAGTAGTATAGAAGGTACACTATAGATCAAAAAATGGAAGACTGTCTCCTTGATATTTAAATGCATAAAATGTAGTTTTTGACCACTTTTATGGAAGGTGAATAACTTCAGTTTTGACTGTTGCCGCATGATATAGAATCAACAGGAATAGAGCTTTTGATGTCATTCTTCATAGCTGAAGGAAATATCCCTGAAATTTAACTATTTATGGTAATATATAATGTTTTTTGGAAATTTTCAATTAAGTGTATTCTAAATTGAATACATATCCTCATATTGAGTACGGTACATTTTTTAAGTTTAAATTACATATTATATATTTTAAGTCCTTTGTATTCACCTGGTAATTTAAATGAAAGTTAGAATTCAGCATTTGTTCTTTTCCTTCTATTGAGTAATGTAGATAAGTTCCATAATAATTTGTTTTGTTTCTTACCCTCCCCAAAATGGAGTGGATTTGGAATGGGGGGATAAATTTATATTAGAAATATACCAGCCCAAAGGCCTTTTTTCTATATGGTAATCTGAAATACACAGACAAACCCCTGAAACATATTTTTTTATAGAATCACTTCTTAAGAGTATACGTTCCAAAAATACTAGATGGACAATAATTCTAGGTGGGTTATAACAAATCAGGATAGATCATGGTGGGGAAAAGATTCATGTCTTAGTAGGACTTCAGAGCAACTAAGCACGGGTAAAATAAATGTAATCAACTTCAGAATTTCTTCCATCCCTCATGATTTACGTTAACTTCCATTTCTCCACACATCCAACTGTTGGCTGAAATTCTATCCATCTTTAAGAATCCATCTTAAATACTATCCTTTCCATAAAGCCTTTTCTTATTTTACCAATCATTCAATATCTCCTTGAATTACTGTAGCATTTTGTCTGTAGCTTGCTTCTGACTCTTAAATTCTAAATGCATTTTTTCACTTGAATTTGTGCTTGCTGAAGTATTGGCAACAGGAATATTTGATTCTCCTGAAGTGTCTAGTGTATTGCCTTGTCTGTATTTGTTAAATGGGGAAGAGTGAGGGAACATGATGAGAGCAGGTGTAATAATAGCAGCTAACATTTACTGAGTAAAGGTCCTGAGGCTTAGGTAATTTGTTTGGTGCTCTATATGAAAATAAGATAAAATTATGGATACACAATTGCTGGGGTCCCTCCTGTCACTTCGGAAGGGATCCGTTCTCATAAGAGACTCTGAAGGTTAATCTTCATTAGCTATGCATAATTCCTCCTCAACCTGAGAAAATGCTGTGTGCCAGGCACTGTTCTAAGTCTATTCTTGTTTAATCTTAACTCTAAGAGATAGAGTTTGACAAAGAAAAAAACACATAGAAGTTAAGTAATGTGACCACAGTCACACATTTACTAGCCTTATGAAGGGTGATAATTGTGAGCAAGGTAGGATTAATCCGTGGAGGGTCTTGAATGCCAATCTAAACAATTTGTATGTCAGGCAATGGGAAATCCTCCATGTGAATTTTGGAGCTGGACTCAATAAGATTAATATGTAAGACAAGTAAGCAAATATGTTTACTAAGTAAATAAGATTATGTAAGTTATGAAAAAACAAGATACTAGAGGTAGGTTCTTAAGCCTTCTCAGGAATTCAGGAACCTGATAATTTGATTGGAATAATTGAAAATCGGGAAGAGGAGGCAAATTTAAGGGTTCAATATGAAGGAAAGATGAGTAGAATTTGGTGATGGGCTATAACGATTGAAAAGGAACAGTCATGTATTGAATATCTTCTATGACTATGCTAGGCATTTTCATTATTCAGCCTTTCACAGAGCAGGCAAAGAAACTGAAGCTCACAAAAGTAACTTGTCAAAACTCCTTGCACAAGTAGTAAAAGTTGACTCTGTTTAATCCTGTATCTACTCCTCTGTTCCTGTAATCCTGAGCTGCGTTTGGGTCTGCATGACTGCAGAAGTAGCAGTACAGCCAAGAAAATAGAAACAAGGAAAGTACACATTATAGGAGGAGGTGAATTCAGTTTTTGTATGTAACTCATTTATTTCAAGTTGGTGTCTAATTGGTGGCAAATCATAGGCAGTTACAAATAAGGAAATGCTGATTAGGGAGCCCTTAGAATGAGTTAAATTGTTTGATGGGTGAACTCTCACAGAGGGGTTATAATGATGGGGCTTAGAAGACTTAAGAACTGATCTTAAACATACTGAATTAGAGAATAGGAAAATAAAGATTTCTCAATGGGTAAAGAGCCTGAGCCAATGCAGTGTATTTTGACAATCCATTTTGAATTTGTTTTTGAAATTGACTGTACTTTCTTTTAAAACTGTCTATAAAACCCCAGAGCATAAGTAAAAACATGCAAAATTAAGTATTCCTGTAGAGGTTACTTACTTTTCTGCCTTTAGTTTATTGATTGTGATCTTCACTGTGCAGCAAGACTTTAGCAACACGCAAACTATTTTTAAGTACCAGAGACAGATGATCCAAGTATATTTTTGAAAACCAATTTTTTATTTGTATTATTACTCTTGGCCTCAAAAAATATGTATCTTCAGAAAAACTTAGAAAATGAATTAGCTATTTTAAATATTAATCTTCAGTTCTGTAGAGGAAAAAATTAAAATGATGGAGACTTACTAAAGATTAATTACCTAGTATTTTTACTTTGATGTAGTTATGACCACCATAAATTTTCATATGGAAATATCAAAAGTAGAATTTTGACTGTGATTAACTTTGTAGTTCTGTTGATTTTGAAGGCTTCATGCAGTCCTTGGTATAGAAGAATAAGAGACTATATAACCAAACACACTTTCCTATTGAATATGTTAATTATGACAGGGACAGAAACAACTTAAATGTTATGATGGTGGTGAAGGGAGGATGAAAGCACACACAGAACAAAGCAGCATTTTTAATCAAAATCCTGCTTTGGTTTTGTTCTTCAAATGTTAGAAGAAAATCTTATCTTTTGTTTCTTACCTATTTATTTATAATATTGTCGAAATTACTGAAAACAGGCCAGGTGCAGTGGCTCGTGCCTTTAATCCCAGCACTTTGGGAGGCCAAAGTGGGAGGATAACTTGAGGCCAAGAGTTCGAGAACAGCCAGGGCAACATAGCAAGACCTTGTCTCTACAAAAAAAACTTATCTTTTGTTTCTTACCTATTTATTTATAATATTGTCGAAATTACTGAAAACGGGCCAGGTGCAGTGGCTCGTGCCTTTAATCCCAGCACTTTGGGAGGCCAAAGTGGGAGGATAGCTTGAGGCCAAGAGTTCGAGAACAGCCAGGGCAACATAGCAAGACCTTGTCTCTACAAAAAAAATTTTTAAAAATTAGCCTGACATGGTGGCACGCACCTGTAGTCCCAGCTACTCAAGAAGCTGCATTAGGAGGATCCCTTCAGCCCAGGTGTTCAAGGCTGCAAGTAAGCTATGATTGCACCACTAACTGTACTTCAGCCTGGGTGACAGAGGGAGAACCTATCTCTAAAAAAAAAAAATTAACTAACATGATTATACAATCTAGAAAATCTCAACTCTTCCTTTTTTATAATCATTTTACTGTTTATGCATATAATTAAGTTTGGACTTTTCACATTTTGGTTTTAAAATTAGATTGCTGTTTGGAAAAGTTTGGATTTCTAAAATACTTTTATTTTTTGTTTTCCTCTTATTTTCCTCACCCCTCCCTCTCCCAGTGGACAAACTACATTCATGGGTGGCAGGATCGTTGGGTAGTTTTGAAAAATGATGCTTTGAGTTACTACAAATCTGAAGACGAGACAGAGTATGGCTGCAGGGGATCCATCTGTCTTAGCAAGGCTGTCATCACAGTAAGTTCCTTTTCTTCCTCATTCAAAAATGTTTCTTGAATATCAACTATAAACCAGGAACTGTTCTGGGTGCTTGGGATACATCTGTGAACAATGTAGATGAAGATCCTTGAACTTGTAAAACATTTATTGTAATACTTTTTTCCATAGCATTATTTCAGAGTGCTTATTACTATGTACTGTTATTTCGTGTGGACATGTAGTATTTATCTAGTTGGTATATTAAACCAGTTTAAGGGCTTCAGAAAAAAAGATGTTAGAAGCCTTCATGTCTTATGGGATTGGGACAGTTACTTGGTAGGTTACTGAAAAAGTTAAAGCAGGAAAATCATAAAAAATAAAATGTACATATTATAACATTTAAATTTTTTAACTTACGATATATGTGTATATTCATAACTTTTTGACATAGGGCTAATTATATCTCTTTGTGGAATTGAGAGAAGTTGTTCCTGTGTAAACTATATCCATAATCCATGATCTGCAATTTCCAGTTTTGATTTCTCTAAAGTGGAATAAAAGCTTAACACATTAACTGCCATGTGAGTTGTATTTAACTAATGCTAGTTTTGAGCCCAGGGCCTCGTGAAACATATGTAACTCACAGGTCTCTTCACCTTGGGAGCCAGGAGAACTATTTTTCAAGTTGCATATAACTCACATGCAGAAAACAATAAAAAATAACAAATTTTTCATTAAACTAGAAAGGATCATTTTGTTTTCTAAGTTTTTATTCTATTTTTGTAATAAAACATGGTGGCCCCAAGGAAAAAAAATTTTTTTTCTGGTGTTGCAGTCAGTATGTTAAAGATACTTCTGAAAATCCTTGAGTATAGGCTTTCTGGCTTTTCATTGAGTCATTCTACTTAGTTTACGTTCAACTTAGTTCACATTAAAAACAACTCTGTCTTTTTGCATTAATAATGTTTAAGTAAGTTATGTATAGACTATAACAAGTAAACTGGCATAAACAGATTTGGAAGAAAACAACCGACTTGTTAAGCAAGTAACTCAACTGGTAGAGTCAGAAATACCTGATTATACAAGAAGAGCATACTAGTTTAGAGTGGGCAGCATGCCATAGGCAAAAAAAAAAAAGGTGTTGGCAAAGGTAGGACAGTTAAATGGAGGTCAGTTAAGGGAGCTATTTTAGTTAAAATTTTTAAATGGCTACATAAAAACAAAAGTAATTATGGATTTTACCAACTCATTCAAAGAAAAGTCACATTTTCTTATGATAGAATTTATATTGCTTATAAAATATATACTTTAGAATTCTGTTAATATCTCTGACTTAGATATGTTTATGTTACATATTTAAGGAAAATCTCACATTTTAATGTCATTTTTCATGCATTTTGCCCTTGTATATTCAAAGTTTGAAAACAAAAGCTTAGTTGAATAGCAATAAGAGCAGTTTGAAAGTGTTGATAACGAAGCTACTACTCTGTTCTTAGAGACAATTTTAAAGAAATAGTTTGAACATAAAGGTTAACTGTTTATTTTGACTGGTATATGGTATGTTATAGTGTATTTTGAAATTGTATCTAGTATTTTCGGTGTTTTATTTCTCTTTTGAGATAGAACATTCTTCATGTCGAAGTACAGAACAGTGGATGGAAATGTACTTTATGATCTTGAAGTGTCTCTCCTTTTGCATATTATCACATGATTATTAGTTGCAATGCTTGACTCTTTGAAAGTAGTATGTTGATGATTGAGTGAAAATGGGGAGGAATGAAATTTTATCTCTATTGTTTCTTAAGTAGTAATATCTTTATCGTATCATTCTAGTTTCTGTAGATTTAAATATAGTTATCCTGACTTGAATTATGAACTAAAGTAATAGTTTATGGCTTATTTGGAGAAAAGAAAAAATTTTGTAAACATTTATATTGCATTTGCTCAGAAAAAAACTGTTCATTGTAATTTTTTTTGTTTTAACTGTATTTGCTTACAGAACTTTCATTGTGGTATGTATTCAAAGAAATGGGTAGGAAAGAGAAACAATTTGAATAATTTGGAGGAGAGATTTGGCAGTGACTACTGGAAGTAGTCACTGGGATAAGTAGAGTAAAGGTAAAAAATAAAATAAATAAATAAGGCAGCAGAATCTGAGTGGTAGTCTTAGATACAATGAAGCATGATAGGAAGAAACACAAGCCTTTATATTGCTAAACTTCTTCAACTTTTGGTCTATTCATTGTTCTGTGGGTTCACAGACTCCATCTTATATATTTCAAGGAAATTACAAAATATATCTAAATTCAGTGAACTCAAAATGAAGTTTACAAATAAAATGTGTACTTTAGTTAAATTTAAAAATGTAATAATAATAATATTGTTAAATAGGCATCTGTTGCTATTTTTTCATTAACTATGGGCTGTTGCCTATATCACTTTGTCTCTGAAGACAAAGAATAAATATTAATATTGAATTTGTTCACGTGACACCCGTATGAAATTCATAGTATTCATATATGAAGAAATCTGGGATTAAAGAGTTGTGCCTTTACTTATTGATGGACCTAGTATCTGAGTCCACATTTTCTGATAGAGTCTAATTCATTGTTAAATTCTCTGTTACTTTAGTTTAACAATTAAGTCTTTCTCAGGCCGGGGGTGATAGCTCTCACCTCTATGCACTTTGGGAAGCTGAGGTGGGAGGAGCTCTTGAGGCCAGGAGTTTAAGACCAGCCTGAGCAACATAAGAGATCCCGTATCTGAAAAAAAAAAAAAAAATTATGTGGGTGTGCTGGTGCATGCTTACGGTCCTAGCTACTTGGGAGACTGAGGCAGGAGGATCCCTGGAGCCCAGGAATTCCAGGCTGCAGTGAGCTATGATGGCACCACCACACTCTAGTCTGGGCAACAGAGCAAGACTCCATCTCTTTAAAAAAAAAAACAATGTCTTTTTTTTCTTTTTTTATATCTTTTTTACCCCCCTCTGTGGCATGTGTGCAGCAGACTAATTCTTAATTTATAAAAATCATGTTCTTTAGCTGTGTGATAATAGGGTGAAATAATTTCAAGTATATAAAGTATTTCATGCGAGAATTTATCCTTTAATGTAAAGGGATTAGGAGTAAGTAGGTGAGAAGAAAAACAGTATTTCTTCACTTGGTGAAGAAAGACCTCTCAGAATAAGTGTTTATAGAAAGAAAGTTGACTTTTTCAATTATTATAGTTTAATAATTACTTAAGACCCAGCCCCTGCCAAGACACTTGTTGTGTGGTAGATATTTATGTTAGTTGTAATTGCCTCACTTAAAAGATGTTAAACTGTTCTTTATTTTTAAAATTGTCTTTTAAATAAAATACACATGATAAAAAACAAGTCATCACATTGAAAAGTTTAAAAAGTGAATGCTTCTCTTTATTTTTAGTCCTGAACTTTAGAAAAAAACAAAGTTAAATTTCTGTTCATCCTTGCAGAAAATTTGTATGCCTATACAAGTATCTATTCATAGCCTTCATTTTTATTTACACAAATAGAATCATACTAAACTTGTTCTGCACTTTGTTTTAATATGTCTTACACGTTAACTGCTATGTTCTGATGTGCTATTCTCATGTATGGATATACCATATCTTGTTTATTTGCCTCTATCCTTTTCTTGGACATTTAGATCATGTCCTATTTTGTTTTACTGCAGTGTTGGAATGAACATATATACTTTAAAATTTGTTTTTAGTTATTGTCAGATAACCTTTCAAAAGAGTACCACGTTTCACTCTGACCAATAGCATGTGAGTGCTTCTGTTTGCCATACCCTCAAGTATTGAGGAAGCTGGGTTTTGGCAAATGTTAAAATTTTGTCAAACTAATAGATAAAAATGGTATGTTATTATTTTAAATTGTACTTTTTATTCATGAGGTTGAGTAACTTCTTATGTTTATAGCTCATTTATATATTTTTTCCTCTTCCAATTGCTTGTTCATCTCTTTTTTTGCTTTTTTCCTTATTGATTTATAGAAGCTCTTTATATGATAATCAGCCATTTGTCATATCTGTTGCAAATATTTCCCCCACATTGTCATTTGTCTATTTCTTCTTTGCTTGTTTTATAGTATTTATTTGGCCTTAGAGAAATTTTAAATTTTTACTTACTCTTATTGACATTTTCCATTATGGCTTCTGTGTTTGGTTATGTTTAGTTAGGTATTTCCCCCTCAAAGACCATCTCTATATAAATATATACATTTTTTCCATCTAAAATTTACATTTAAATTTTGATTCCTGTGGAAGTTAGTTTAAGGAATGATATGGCATGTAGTTTTTTATTTTTTTTTTAAATCACTAACCATGTATCCTAATACCATTAATTGAATAATTGACCTTTTCCCAACTGGTTTGAGATGACACTTTTATCATATATTATATTCCCATGTATATTTGAGGTTGTTTCTGGACTCTCTTCTGTTCATTTGGTTTGTCTGTTCCTTCTTACACTGTATTTAAAATTACATAGCTAATATTTCATCAACCAATTTCTTACTTAAACTGCTAATGATCTGTTTGTGAAGGAAAAAGGAGGATTTACAGTTACTGAATTTGGAAGATATTTCGTGAAATAGGTAGGTAGAGATTTTTGGTATAATGGAAATACTAATGTCTTCAGATAGAATTGGCTTGCCTAAGTTCTGTGGTCTCAGGTCTCACCTTAGGCCCTTCTGTCTTTGTATACATAATTTCTTGTAGAACTTTATCAATTGTCAAATGAGTGGAATTCTTTCTATTCTTTTTTTTCTTATTATTCTTGCCATAGGTTGGTTATAGGGAAATTTATTTGCCAATTTCATGTTTTAATTTTTCAGAAGGAAAACTGAAGGGTAGTGAAAATGTATACTATCGTATTTTAAAAAATTAAAGCCAAATAGCTCTTAAGGTAAATAGAAGCTGCAACAGGGGAAGTTGAAAGATCCTGGCAAAATTAAAGAAGCCAATGGAGATGTAAAAACAAAGGAAGGAAGTGTTTAAAAGTGAAGAGAACCATAA